GGCGTATTTTTCTATTAAACGAGTACAAGAATAAACAATTTTGTGAGTGCTTTCTATGGAATATATTTGAATTTATAAGGATAGTGAAAATCAATGAGTTAAGGACATACTACTTAAGTGGCGATTTTTACAGAATATCCTTTTTGTGAACAGTCGGAAAGAAGTTCATTGAAAAGCCCTTGATTGAAATAATTTGAGATTAGGCTGCATTATAATCAGTATTACACCCCTACTTCATGCCGTTTTGCGAGTGGTTATTAGTCTTCCGCAAATTTCGGCATTTTGCACGAATTCCCGGTGCTGTACTGTATGCCCCACTCGCCCCCCTCATCTCACCCTACATTCTCGTCGGCGCTCATCTAAGTAGACGGAGATGTTTGTGTAGCCCCTCCCTACGGACTCCTTTTATCTGCCTCCTCTAGAGCCTGAGGCTGCATTCATTCTCAAAAAGCCCTCAGATTTCCCAATGACAAGCCCTGCCTCTACTGCCACGCTCTCTCCTTTTAAGGTCTTCATAAACGAGTGTCAATACCTTCCGACCTAAACCGACAAAGACAACGAATTCGTGGTTTAATGCTTAGAGAGGTAGGCTCTGATCGAAATTGTTGCAAGTTCAAGTCTCGATTGGTGCATCTCTTGGGGTTGGGTATGACTGACTGATGACGGCTCATAAGCCAGAAATGGTCATTCGAGTCTCCCTTATCTTTTCCGGTAATAATATCTGTCTACTACTACTAGCCGCTGTGTGGCTGCTGTTAGGGCCCGAAAAATAAGGCTCAAGACAGAGTGGGACGAGTGAGTTCCGTTAGCGATAGGTGGAGTTCATCAACGAGTGTGTCAATTTGATCTGTCCGCAACCTTTTCGATCAGAACCTAACGCTCTAACCATTAAGCCACGAACTCGTTGTCTGTCCGCGCAGTCGCACACAGGAACATAGGCGGTACTTACACTTGCTTCTAACTGTACCTTAGAGTCCTTTGCTGGCGATGCGAGGAGGGCACATCCCCGAGCAACAACCGGCAAAACATCAGGCCCGATAGCTCGATGGTTAGGGCGTTTGCCTCTGACCGGAGAGACGCGGGTTCGAAACTCGAGTGTGGCGGCAATTTCCGCGTCTACACTGGAGTTGGGTAACTACAGCTGATGACGCCTAATGAGGCAGAAATACGTATCCTGCAAGTCCCAATGTTTGCCGGCAATGCCTAATAAGATTCTAATGTAATCACCGCTTTGAGAAGATGTCAGATCATACTCACAATAAAAGCCTATCCGTTCAACCCCATGGTTATCTGAATTTGAGCTTTAAGTACGGCTACCTGACTTTTTCTGGAGATTATCTCTTCCAAGGTGTATACCGGGCTCGCCCTTCAGCATCTCACACTGCAGTGTCGGCGCTAATCTAAATACCCTCCCTATGAAATCCTTTTTCTAGAGCTTGATTCTGCCTCGATTCTCAAAAAGCCCTCTGAGTTGCCAATGACGAGCCCTGCCGCTACCGCCGCGCTCTCCTGTTTTGAGCTAGCTCTCCAGGGCGAGAGACTGTGCAAAGCGGGCGACTACCAGGCGGCCATACAGCAGTTTCGAACCGCCCTCCAGATTGGTACAGACGATGTCGGTGTGCTGACGGCCATATACAGTCAGATGGGCAATGCCTACTTCTTCGAGCAGGACTATCTGCACGCGTTGGAGTTCCATCGGTGGGACCTTTCACTGTCCAGGTGAGTGGGCCGTCTCCTTTTGTTCTGTCCCTGCTTTCCCCCTCTCTTATCTGCTGTTGTATGTCACCATGGGGTTTTGCTGTATTTCGCGTTTGTCTACAACTAATCCACTACATGACAATTCGATCGTCGCGAGCGACGTCATCCACCGTGGGCCCAACAACGGTGGCTTGCATGAAGCAGACATGCGCAACATCTGTCACACCGTTTCCCCACCTGGCTTGTTTTGATGGCAAGACAGTACCCGGACGAGTAAATGTGGACTCCAGGCCAGTGTCTGACAAATGTAAACAGACCATCCGTGAGTATCACAAACGCGTCCCAGGATTTAGTGAGAACGGCGCGGATTATATGTAGGCGTGAAAGTGCCATAGAAGCCACAGTAAGGCGGAACTATTGCAGCTGGACTCTCGGTCCTGAGAAAGACCGGGTCACCTGTTCTGTGGACAACCTTGTTGCTATCGATTTCTTGTGGTTAGGTTTTTGAGCTAAAGCGCAAAAT